TTCATTTCGTCTTATTCTTGCTCTCATGTTACTATATAACTCTTTTATTATTTTAATAAATGAAGTTCCAAATCCATAGTTATCCATTAATTGCAACAGATAATCATGGTTTAATGAATCAAAAGCTTTATAGATGTCAAACTTCAAGAGTGCAATTTTTCTTTTTTTGTTATGATTAAGAATGTTTAATACATTTCTTATAGGATGTGCTATGTTTCTACCTTGTATTAATCCGTATTGATGGTCCTTTACTATTTTAGTTATAATCCCTTCTATTCTATTTACTAATATTTTCATGAATATTTTATAATCCTGATTTAGGAGGCAAATGGGTCTATATGAATTAGGGTCTTCTGGATCTTTCCCACTCTTTCTCGCTGTTGTTATCTCTTATTCTCTCCATGTATCTGGGGTTTTTCCTCCTAACATTATACTATTAAATACATTATTCGATTCTGGTATTATTATTTCTTTCGTTTCTGTGTAAAACTCTGCACGGATGATGAATCTGGACCTATCTTGGCACACATACCCATCATGGCCAACTTAAAATACTGGCAAGGTTTGGGGTGACTGGTCGACAATAATGAGAGTTAGCATCCACCCATATCCAGAGTCGCATGTAAATCACACCAACAATGGATCTGAGTCAAACTTGGCACACATACCCATCATGACCAACTTAAAATATAGGCAAAGTTTCAGGGGGGATTGACAGAGCTGTATTCCACCCACACTCAAAGACCCATGTGTATCTTACAACCAGAGAGCCATGTGTTTCTAATGGGACCATTCATAAAATCCAAACTGAACAATGACTATTTCTAATAAATAGCATTTTTTGTCGTGTCAGGAGCAAGTTGCTTCTGGCGTGAGAGAATTGGCCGTCTGCAAGGACGTTGCCCAGGGGACGCCTGGATGATTTGATGTTTTTATCATCCTTGTGGGAGGCTTCTCTCATGTCCCCGCATGAAGAGCTGGAGCTAATAGAGGGAGCTCATCCGCCTCTCCCCGGATTTGAACCTGCAACCTGTCGGTCTTCAGTCCTGCCGGCACAGGGTTTAACCCACTGCGCCACCGGGGGCTCCTAATACTAAATAGCATTACAAAATACATAACTTGGGCAAATGCTGGGTACCTAAGCCAGTATAGCATAAGAAAGAATATATCACAAGGTCTACCGATTTAAATTAATGACCCATATCTACCAAAATTCCTTTTCTACCACACCTAACAAGTAACTAATTACAAATAAACTAGTAGCCTAAATTTAAACCATTTGACAATAAACTAGAACACATGACAATTGTGACTTAGTCATGAATAATTTTCACCTTTTTGTGGTGCTATTACAACTATTTTATCTGTATCTCTTTTTTTAGTTTCAGGAGCATGGTCTCATTAAACCATGAATATGAGAATATGAGGATATTATAAGGTTCAGATCCTAATTCTCCCATTTGTGAGTGTTGAAGGCTGCTTCTACACAGTCATATAAAATCCAGATTATCTGATTTGAACTAGATTATATAGCAGTGTAGACTCAAAAAATTATACTTCTGAGAGAGTACTTCTGAGATTCGATACACATCCCCTAAAGTTTAACTTGTTGCCTAAGCACAAGAAAGGCAAATAAGGCAAAACGTCTCTTACCTTTCAGTCATGTTGACTAAATGGTGTTTTTCTCTCTTTCACCTTCGCCTCTATCAAGTTGACTCCCAGCAAACTTACCCACAGGGGTCGAAAAAGTGGGGCCATCCAATGGGAGTTCAGGTAGTAAGAGTAATATGAAAACAAGAAAGGTTATTTTGATCAGCAGATAAACACAAATCCACATGCATACTTGGAGAAAAAGTGCAGCCTCTGCCTTCCTGTGACCATAAATAATCCAACAGAACAAACTGTGGACATGCCAGCAATACCCCCCTTTTATTCAGATAGGATTTTAATGGGCTTCTTAAAGCCAAACACTCAGTACAGGAACTTCCTTATCTACTTCAAATACAATGTCAAATGATATATGCACGTTTCTTCTAGTAAAAAAAGGGGGCCAATATAAACAAACATTTTCAAGAACTGCTCAAAGTTCAAATTTAAGCTCTGGCTTTACTTTACAGTAAAACAGCTTTTACTAGTGACAAACGTCAAAGCAATGGTATTCCCTGTAGTAACCTACGGATGTGAGAGCTGGACCTTAGGGAAGGCTGAGCGAAGGAAGATAGATGCTTTTGAACTGTGGTGTTGGAGGAAAGTTCTGAGAGTGCCTTGGACTGCGAGAAGATCCAACCAGTCCATCCTCCAGGAAATAAAGCCCGGCTGCTCATTGGAGGGAAGGATACTAGAGACAAAGTTGAAGTACTTTGGCCACATCATGAGGAGACAGCAAAGCCTAGAGAAGACAATGATGCTGGGGAAAGTGGAAGGCAAAAGGAAGAGGGGCCGACCAAGGGCAAGATGGATGGATGGCATCCTTGAAGTGACTGGACCTTGAAGGAGCTGGGGGTGGTGACGGCCGACAGGGAGCTCTGGCGTGGGCTGGTCCATGAGGTCATGAAGAGTCGGAGACGACTGAACGAATGAACAACAACAACGTGAAATTATTGAATGCTTTAAGTAATACTAAGGTGGTTCACTTTTGTCACCTTCCCTAGCAATACTAAAAAGTTGAAAAAAATGCTGAGCTTCCATCACTTTTAAGTTGTAAGACCCCATGTGTCAAGTTAAAAGAGACAAAGGAAACTCAGAAAGGAGAAAGAAAGACAAATACAACCAACAATGCCCTTTTGCACTGTACTAATTTTAGGTGGAAAAAAAATATGTGACACATAAGACTATGTGTGAAAGCTTTCATCTTGATGTTGTTTCTTGCATTTATCCTCGGCCTTTCTACAAAAGAATGAAATTGAAGGCAGCATTGTGAGCTGAAATCTTGCAGATACTGTTACAAGAAGGGAACACAGGATGGCACAACTGCACTGACAGATACACTTTTGCAAAGTCTTATTTCAGAATCGTCTTGGATTGAGAGAAGAGCACGGTCACTAATGCTTCCTACATTGATCTGTAAGTCAGAATCATGGGACAGGAGTCTCAATACAAGGGCAATAATTTATTTGTTTATTTATTTACTGTATTTGTATACGGCCTTTCTCAGCCCATAGGCAACTCAAGGTGGTTAACAGGGTAAAATTCAATGTTTACAATATCATAAATGTAATTAAAATATAATTAAAATATAATTTAAAATATAACATATAATAAAAAAACTAAACAAATCAATAAAACATAAAATCATAGTGTTTTAATGTACTAAACGTACCAAGTTTGTATGAAAATGTGATTTCTATTTCCTGTGCTGGTTTATGACCGAAATAAATGATTTGATTTGATTTGAAATTCATAGTGTCTCCTTGTTAAAAACATTGTCCGGTCTCATTGTCGTCATTCCATTTTCCTATGTCAGTTATTCTGCATTTAGAAACGCTTGTTCAAAAAGTCACATTTTGACTTTTTTCTGGAATGTTAATAGGGTGGTCGCCGATCTAATATCTATAGAGAGGGCATTCCATAGCCAAGGGGCCACCACTGAGAAGGCTCTGTCTCTCATCTCTGCTAAACATACTTGGCAGAGACAAAGGCGATAACAAGAGCAGGGCCTCCCCAGATGATCTTAAGGTCCTAGATGGTTCATAAGGGGAGACACAATCGGACATGTAAGTTGGGCCAGAACTGTTTAGGGCTTTATAGGCTAAAGCCAGCACTTTGAATTGTGCCCGGTAGCAAACTGGTAGCCAGTGGAGCTGGCGCAACGAGTTGTATGCTCCCTGAGCGCTCCTCCTACTTGGCTGCTGTTGGACCATTTGAAGCTTCCGGACAGTCTTCAAAGGCAACCCCATGCAGAGCACATTACAAAAGTCTATACGGGATGTAACCAGCGCATGGACTACCATGGCCAAGTCAGACTTCCCACTATTATAACAATAATGCTGTTATAAGCCTTCTAGTTCATTTTTTTCCCCATACAGTGGAACTAATTTTAAAATGGAGTGACACACCAATAACACGTTCATTTCAATTTTTGCAAAAACAAATTAAAATTACCCAAAATATCTTCCCCCAACTGATGAAAAAATTCCCACTCTCCTATACAACATATAGGTACAACAATATATAGGTAAACCAAAGAGGTCAAAGCATTCTTGGTTAAATCTTGGTTAAATCTTCCAAGAAGCAGGGAAATTGTATTCAAAGGTTGCAAAGAATCCTCATTGTCCTCATTGTCACACCTCTGAGGATGCTTGCCATAGATGCAGGCAAAACGTCAGGAGAAATGCCTCTAGAACATGGCTCTATAGCCCGAAAAAACCCACAAGAACCTAGTGATTCCAGCCATGAAAGCCTTCGACAATACAATCCTCATTGTAATTGCTGTCCAATTGTGCTTTCATTTAGCCACCTGTGTTTCCCTGTCTCCATTAGTTTACATCCCTGTTTCAGGATTTTAAAATGTGCAGGTGCTCTGGAGCAGTCTACACCAGGGTATAGGAATAAAATAACATGTTTTCCTTGATTGTAGGGATATACAGTCATGTGAATATGCACATTTTGCCTGAAAATGGATTTTAAACCCAACTTTTTAACATGTGTTTTTTAGCTGTTAATCCAAATTAGTGTGCATGTTAGTTAAACATCATTTAGCTGCCACAACTCCTTTTATTCTGGTTTCTTTTGTGTTTTTGGGATTCTTCGATTCTCTTCTCCTAGGCACCTCGAGCATTGAAATAGCAACAACTCAAACCCAAGAATCATGAGAAATATAATTTAAGGGCATTTTAGTATGGACATCACAAAGCTTGGGAAGAATATGTCCTGGGGTACAAGATTTAGGATGCCACTAAATTTGTTCATGGCAGGAGTACTTAAGGCACCAAGGATGATGGAAGGATGTGAGAATTCATTTATGTTCTGAGTTTGAGAAAAAGTTTTGAGGAACACTTCAATAAATTCATTTAGAAAGGTAACAGAGTAGCATTGTTGATATGTTCATAAAACCATTCAAGCAAACACAAACATTAATGACATCACTAGTGATAAGGCACATTAATTGAAGTGGAAGTGATTGTTTAACATGTTTTTAAAGCATGTGATTTCTACTGAATTGTCCATCACTCTTCAAAACAGAGTGAAAAAAATCAGTAAGTCAGTTAAACATAATGCCATTAAAGTAGCCATTCTCCTTTCAGAATCCTTTCATTTGCTTATTTTATATCCAGGCAAAAGAGTCCCAGAGTTTGTAAATCTTGGTTCATTTTCACGAAATTATTCTGCATTTCAAAATATCCTGACCTTATGACCCCGATCTCTCTTCAACCAGTCTTGAAAACCCAACTGATATATGGAGTGCTTGCCTCTGCTGGGAATGAGGAATGGGTCATTCAACTGCCATGGCTGAACAGCTGTGTTGACTTTGGACTTCTGTAATAATAAACAGCTCTCTCGCATTACAGATAGGTCTTCATAAGGCTATACGTAGAAGGACAGTATTTGGAATACAATTGTGCTAGTAAGGTTTCAGAGGTGATCTCAAGTTGTTTCCCTTGACTTTTCTTATTCCACACATGCACAGCATAGGTGTTGTTAAACAGTTTAGGAAGCTCCGAAGCACTTATAACTTCATAATACTTTCTCCAGTCCTGCCAGCGGATGGGATAGAAGGCTTCTCGTGGGAAAATAGTGACCCCTTTGCAGCTTCTGCTGTTCTTCAGGCTACGGATAGTACACCACCTCTTAAACATGCGGGTGAAGAGCTGGGGGCCCTGGTGTCCCCAGATCCAGCGATTGTAATTATCCACAAAATCTTCCATGCAAAGTTGTATAAACTTGTGTTTGGGATCAAATGAGAGAAAGGCTCCATTCAGTGAATATGTGGACTGTGTACCAAGTGCGTTCCTGAGGTTGTTTAAGTTCTTAAGGACTATGAAGTCTGTATCTAAATAGATGCCACCATATTTCCACATGATGACAATTCGGCAGGCATCAGAAAGAATGGGCAAGAAATACGGTTCCCACCTCTGCTGGGCCAATGAATACCAGCTAGTCAGGGGAGTATTAGAAAAAAGTTCATTCAGATCCAATGGCTTGATTTCAAGGTTAGGGAAGCAGCTGAAAAAGGATATGCCTAAACGTTTTGGCAAGGTATTGTTATAGTTGACCAAGCCCTTCATAAGGACAACAATTTTTAATTCCGGGTGAACCCTGGCTGCTGATTCAACAGAACACATAAACAGGAAATTGGGATTAGTTCGTTCTGATGTTTCCACAAAGTATATATCCTTGGTTGAATGAGGGGACCATCTTGTTATAGGAGTAGGAAGAAGTGGACACTTAACATCTCCAGGCAGATTATGGTGCTGTGTCTTGTCCACAATGTCTTGGCTGATTTTCCAATAAAACATGATGGTGATGAAGGACATGAAGTTAAAGGCAATAATTAACACAGCCCAGAGCTTGTGTTTTGAAGCCACCCTGGTCAATTGTAGCTCACAGAAAAGTGCCTTCCACATCATCTGCTCACCAGTTTTAAACTCTGAGGAAAACCAGAATGAGCTATAAAAGGGAAAAAAAAAGAAAACCATTAATAATTTTGCTAATAAATATGGATGCACTGGAAACCATTAATAGAAAATTATTAAGATGAAAACCAAAATCAATTTTATTCTCTCTCTCTATCTGAGGGTAGCTTAGTGGTGCATTGATAGTGGTGTTTCTCAACCTGGGGTCGGGACCCCTGAGGGCCCTGGTGAAGGGAGTTGAACTGGATGGCCTTAAGTATTTTCTATTCATCATGGGGGTTCTGTGTGGGAAGTTTGGCCCAATTCTATCGTTGGTGGGGTTCAGAATGCTCTTTGATTGTAGGTGAACTATAAATCCCAGCAACTACAACTCCCAAATGTCAAGGTCTATTTCCCCAAACTCCACCAGTGTTCACATTTGGGCATTGAGTATTCATGCCAAGTTTGGTCCAAATCCATCATTGTTTGAGTCCACAGTGCTCTCTGGATGTAGGTGAACTACAACTCCAAACTCAAGGTCAATGCCCACCAAACCCTTCCAGTATTTTCTGTTGTTCATGGGAGTTCTGTGTGCCAAGTTTGGTTCAATTCCATTGTTGGTGGAGTTCAGAATGTTCTTTGATTGTAGGTGAACTATAAATCCTAGAAACTACAACTCCCAAATTACAAAATCAATCCCCTCCCAAGCCCACCAATATTCAAATGTGGGTGTATTGGGTATTTGTGTCAAATTTGGTCCAGTGAATGAAAATACATCCTGCATTTCAGATATTTAAATGACGTTTCATAACAGTAGCAAAATGACAGTTATGAAGTAGCAACGAAAATAATTTTATGGTTGGGGGTCACCACAACTTGAGGAACTGTATTAAGGGGTCGTGGGATTGGAAAGGTTGAGAACCACTGATCTAGAATGTTTATTGAGGACCCACTAATGCTTGCCATTCTACCAGCAGCCCCGTTACTATCAAAATCTATTCATATTAAAGTCAAAATGTGTGTGTGTGTGTGTGTGCGTGTATAAAAAATATTCTGGTTTCTTTTCAATCTTTATATCTAATATTTTTTGTATTTCCAAGTGAATGTCAGTCTAATACTTCCTTACTTCAGGGCAAGTACACCAGACGTGGAAGAAGGTACCCATTTATTTTCCACATTTCCAAGATTTGTCAGAGGCATTTTTGTAACATTTGGAAATTTTGTGAGGAGTGATGTACCAACCAATTTTCTCTTAATTCCTACGCATAAGTGTATTTCATGTTCTGGTTCCAAATTTTTTCCCACCAGAATATTTTGCTGGGAATGTTAGAAGTAGCAGAAGATAAAGATAAAGAAATTCTATTCAACTACTTAGTGATTGCAGCCAGAATAGTGTTTGCAGAAATTTGGAGGAGCAAAGAAATCCCAAAAAGAGAGGACTGGCAAAAGAAAATTGTAGAAGTAATGAACATGGACCAACTAACTTAATGGATTTCCTCAAATCAAGGCCTACTGAAGAAACAAACAAATTGGGACCTGGTAAAGAACTACTTTAAGCACCTGAAGATTAGGTTGTTGTAGGTTTTTTCAGGCTGTATGGCCATGGTCTAGAGGCATTATCTCCTGACGTTTCGCCTGCATCTATGGCAAGCATCTCAGAGGTAGTGAGGTGACCTCACTACCTCTGAGGATGCTTGCCATAGATGCAGGCAAAACGTCAGGAGAGAATGCCTCTAGACCATGGCCATATAGCCCAAAAAAACCTACAACAACCCAGTGATTCCGGCCATGAAAGCCTTCGACAATACAACTGAAGATTTGTTTGATAATTAAAAATATGACAATTCACAAGATACTACAAGGAGCTCAGGGAAGTAAAATTATTTCCTGTCATATTAATAGCCAAATTATTGTCAACCACCGATGAATAGAAGGAAGTCAACCTAGAACTTTTTTCTTTTTTTCTGTTTTTGTGTTTTTCTTCTAAAAATCTCTCCTTTTTCATCTCCCACTTTCCTATCCGAATATTGTTCCCACACTATCGATATATCTGTTTCTCCTTAAAGATACAAAAAAACTCCAAATAGAGGGGAAAAAGCAAGAAGGGAGACAGCAAGTATTTTCTCATCCCATAGCTTATTTTTATTGGGTTGTTGTAGGTTTTTTCGGGCTATATGGCCATGGTCTAGAGGCATTCTCTCCTGACGTTTCGCCTGCATCTATGGCAAGCATCCTCAGAGGTAGTGAGGTCTGTTGGAATTAGGAAAAAGGGTTTATATATCTGTGGAATGACCAGGGTGAGACAAAGGACTCTTGTCTGCTGGAGCTAGGTGTGAATGTTTCAACTGACCACCTTGATTAGCATATAATGGCCTGACAGTGCCTGGAGCAAACTGTTGTTGAGAGGTGATTAGATGCCCTTGATTGTTTCCTCTCTGTTGTTGTGCTGTTGTAATTTTAGAGTTTTTTAATACTGGTTTTTTTTGTCCTTTGTCCCACCCTGGTCATTCCACAGATATATAAACCCTTTTTCCTAGTTCCAACAGACCTCACTACCTCTGAGGATGCTTGCCATAGATGCAGGCGAAACATCAGGAGAGAATGCCTCTAGACCATGGCCATATAGCCTGAAAAACCCTACAACAACCCAGTGATTCCAGCCATGAAAGCCTTCGACAATACTTATTTTTATTGTTTGCTTTTTCTTACCCCCTCCCCACCTTTTCTCTTTTCTTCTCATACTTTCCTATAAATGACAAAGGTTCCCCCACTTTCAATGTAAATGAGTTTTTTTCCTTTTTTCTCTTTTCCAAATGTTATCTTCTTTCAACAAAACCTTAATAAAATATAAATTTAAAAGTATATATTTATGTTTATGTATATGTATAGGTATATGTATGTATGTTAACTAACTAGTTAACTAACTAGCTACCAACTAGCTATGTTTGCATGTACTTTCCAGGATGGCTCCCATATCCGGAGAGCTGGGTCTATCCCATGGACAATGAATCTGAACCTATCCTGGCACAATGTATTGTCGAAGGCTTTCATGGCCAGAATCACTGGGTTGTTGTAGTTTTTTCGGGCTATATGGCCATGGTCTAGAGGCATTCTCTCCTGACGTTTCACCTGCATCTATGGCAAGCATCCTCACTACCTCTGAGGATGCTTGCCATAGATGCAGGCGAAACGTCAGGAGAGAATGCCTCTAGACCATAGCCATATAGCCCGAAAAAACCTACAACTATCCTGGCACACATACCCATCATGACCAACTTAAAATACTGGTGAGGTTAAGGGAGAGAGTTATCATCCACCCATATCCGAAGTCGGATCTGAGTCAAACTTGGCACACATACCCATCATGACCAACTTAAAATATTGGCAAAGTTTCAGGGGGGATTGACAGAGGATGATAGGAGCTGTATTCCACCCACACTCAAAGACGCATGTGTATCCTACAACCAGAGAGCCATGTGTTTCTGGGGGAAGGAGGGGGTTGACAGAGGATGATGAGCTGTATTCCACTCACATCCATGTATATCCTACAACCAGAAAACCATTCGTTTCTAATGGGACCATTCATAAAATCCAAACGGAACAAAGACTATTTCTAATAAATAGCATTATAAAATACAAACTTGGGCAATGCTGGGTACCTAAGGCAGTATAACGTAAGAAAGAATATAACACAAGGACTGCTGATTTAAATTAAAGACCCATATCTACCAAAATTCTTTTTCTACCACACCTACCAAGTAAATAATTACAAATAAACTAGTAACCTAAATTGAAACCATTTGACAATAAGTGGGGCTTAACTAGAACACATGACAATTGTGACGTAGCCATGAATAATTTTCACCTTTTGTGGTGCTATTACAATTATTTTATTTCTATCTCCTTCTTTTTTTTAGTTTCAGGAGCATGGTCTCATTAAATGGTGGTGGCGGAATATTATACGGTTCAGGTCCTGGTTGTCCCATTTGTGAAGATTGAAGGTCCCTTCTACACAGCCATATAAAATCCAGATTATCTGATTTGAACTGGATTATATGGCAGTGTAGACCAGTGATTCTCAACCTGTAGGTCCCCAGGTGTTTTGGCCTACAACACCCAGAAATCCCAGCCAGTTAACCAGCTGTTAGTATTTCTGGGAGTTGAAGGCCAAAACATCTCGGGACCCACAGGTTGAGAACCATTGGTGTAGACTCATATAATATAATTCGAAGCAGATAATCTGGATTGTCTTATTTGATAATCTGGATTGTATGGCCATGTAGAGTGGGCTGAACTGACCAGAAGAGTATTTTGTATCATTCTGATGTAATCATATCTTTTATATTGGGAAGTAAATGTTTTAATGTCTTTTTTCAAAACAACTAAGCAAAGAGTTGGTTTTACGATCTACAAAGATAACAATAACTAAGTTCCAGCTCAGACGTATGATATTTCTAGTAGACAGGAAGTGTTAATGGGGTCATAAGTAATGATAGCATTGTATTTTAGTAGTTCTGACAAAATTGCATAAGTGCTTCTGCCAGTAGTAAGACTGATGACTCGCAAAAACTGGCCTTCTGCCAATCTCCTGTTTAGGATATATCTTTAAAACATCAAGAGAATCCACTCCTTTGAAATGTGATGCTGGAGGAAAGTGCTACAGATACCATGTACAACAACAACAACAACAACAACAACAACAACAACAACAACAACAACAAAGAATACATTAGTCCCACCGCAAATATTTATTACTACAAGCCAACATAAGGATATCATACTTTGGACAGAGCATGAGGCAACATGACTCATTAGAAAATGCAATAATCGAAGGTGGATAGAATCATAGAATCATAGAATCAAAGAGTTGGAAGAGACCTCATGGGCCATCCAGTCCAACCCCCTGCCAAGAAGCAGGAATATTGCATTCAAATCACCCCTGACAGATGGCCATCCAGCCTCTGTTTAAAAGCTTCCAAAGAAGGAGCCTCCACCACACTCCGGGGCAGAGAGTTCCACTGCTGAGCGGCTCTCACAGGAAGTTCTTCCTCATGT